ACCGTTCGCTCTGAGGAAGGGCATCACATGTTGGCCGAAACATCAGCCAGCACGGCAGAGACGCAGCGCATCCCCGATAGCCTCGATCCTTGACAACGCATAAAAACTGCCGTCCAAGCGGAAAGAAATTGTTGGGACTTATTTGTAAAGTAATGCATCAAACTCGTAATATAATGTGAACTGTTTTCATTTGCATGTTGGAAGTATTTATTGACGACTGATGTTGACTGCATTCATTTTTGAGCTAAATATGCTTTCTCAAACATCTTGTAATGAAAAAATAACATGACAAAACTTAAGTGGAACCCAAAATAACTTTTGGGGTGGAAAACTCAACAGAGAAAGCTTTGCAACTGATGTTACGTTCTTGTTGTTCTAGGGGTCTTCTATTCTTGCTGTCTCGTTAGATTATCTAGTTATAATGTATTTGATAGCGTGAGTAAGCATCTTCGTCTTGCTTACTCCTTAAGTTATGTATAAGTTGATCAAGCTTACTTAATAGCGTAGCGTTGCATGTTTATGTATTGTGAAAGTTCAGTCATTATGTACTATTTCTCGATCTGCTTCTGAAAAACGTGTGAACTTAATCCTATGAACCAGAAAAAAATGCCGGAGCAAAGTTATTTGTTAAAAAGGTAATTTAGTAAAGTCTATTGGTTTCTTGGCCTCTTTTACTTTCTTGAGTCAGTACAATGAAGAAAATGTTATGCTGCTAATAATCGATGTTGAGATTTTGGCAAAAATACACATTTTGAGAGTCGTGATACTAAAGAAGTGCTTTTTTTCCATTGAAGTGTTTCCATTCCTTATGAAGTGTAGGCAAATGATTGGTGCTATAGGAAAACGTACTCATTTGGGGGAAGAAAAACATGTTGTATGAGAATCTCATGCTAAAAAGTGGGTTTTAGTCTCTCCTGTACGTAGCATATTTCATTCTTGTGTTGCATAGTATGGTCGAATTGCCCGTTTTGGGAGTCTCTGAGAACAAAGAAGTTGTTATTTTTAATATTTATTTCTGTTTGTCTAGGTAGGTCAGACAATCTAGATAGGTCATTAAGACCTCGTAATTCTCGAAACGGCAAACGGTAAAAATATATTCTTGATATAAAATACACCATTGAAGATTCTTTTAATCAATGCAATTTTTTAAATTAGATCTTTAGTTTTTATTACATACACGTTTTTTTTCAAAATACAAGTGTTTTTACTTGATTTTGAGTGAAATCAAAACTTCTGATGCTACATCAGCATATTCTTTGTGGTATTAACAATAATGGTTGTTACAACAGTGGATCTTCCTTCAATTATCATCCGAAAATCCCCTAACCAAACGAAACGCTGTAGTAATATAACGGTGACCTATTCACCTCTCTATATAATTAGCTAAGGAAATATGATGTATTATTCCCTTTCAAAAGATACCACAGACATAAAACACAGTAAGTACATTACTGCTGCGTAGAGAATTACCCCTCAGGAGTGCATCAAAAAGGTTCATTACCTTCGCGCACAACCCGCAAACGGTGAATAATGGAGAATTCATTTTGTGTGTGTGCGTGTTTCTTTTCAGGGACATAAGCTATGTTTTGTACAGCAGCTACTCCACAAAATGATACCTTTTTGGATGGTCTATTCCATTTTAATTATGATTCTGTCACTCCCTAATATGCATTACCGTAACGTGTATAAAAGTATTTCGTAATAAAAATCACATAAATCTTTATTGTTTTTTTAAATTAATTTCCAGGTTAACAAGTGCGGGACATGCGGCGAACATGTGAGAAAGGTTTGGGGAACATTTGAGTGAACATTTTCGGGAACATTTCGCGAAACATTTGGAGTAACATTTGAAAAAACAGTGTCATAATTATTCTTAAATGCTCCTTACACTAAGCACATACAGCCTAGCGTACGAACTAGATACTTACAAATAATCTACTTTGTCTCACTTCCTAACTTACTCTAATTGAACCGTAAAACTCAAAATTACGCAAAAATTACGTACATTTTAAAATTAGTGTTCCTGAAGGGATTTAAAGATCTAACATTGTGGGGTAGGAGGAATATTGAAGGAAAATCTCTAATTTCACTTTGAAGAGTTAGAACAGATTTGAAAATATTTCTTCCTTGTCAGTGTAAAACTCGAAATTATGCGAAAGTTATTCATAATGTACGCAAAGGCTGTGTAATACTTTAGCACTACTAGCTTTATTTGGGCTCCAAAAAATTAATACCCATAACAGGAATACTCATCAATATAGTGCGATGGGATGTAATTGTTTAGAATAAATGGATTAAAATTAGCAAGAAAAATTGCATTGTAAGGAGGGATAGTATTTCCATGCTCTGAATGTGTCCTTTTTAAAATGCTATCGAAAGTTTAGAGGAGTGGAATTCAGAGGATTCGCCCGACCGCATCCCGTAGTCAGTTTCCGTCACCCTCGCTTCTCAGCCAATCTCCTCATATTTCGTTATCTGAAAAGGCGTAGCCCGACTCCATTCCGTTTCGTTCATTTGGTGTTTCGGAAGGAGTAAAAAATATTAGTAAAATTTCCATTCATAAATAAAGCAATTAGATGTTCTGATACCAATCTAGAGGGAACACAAGCGAACATGACAGAATTTTCAGAATTGTGGATGTTAACTCAGTAAGGTAAGATGATGCACGTGATAGGTGAGAGCGTCTGGGTGACGCCGCGTCCATGGTAAACGTGCCGATGTTTCGCTCGACCTTCCGCATTACGCACTAGGAAGATCTCAGGATGGCGACCGAAACGTCGGCACCTTTGTCGTGGAGGCTGCGTCACCCGGCCAGCCAGTTAAATACGTGATAAGTGATTTCATGTTTCGTTTCGACAACCTTTTCAATGAGTTTCAACGTTGGTAGTGCTCTAAATGACATGCCATTTTTTTCCTTGGAAACAGTCAGAAGTGGAAAAATTATAATCGATAAGTCATTCTAATCGGATCACGGGAAACTTAGAAATCAATCATCATACTAAGGAGGAAAATTGAACTAGATGGAGTCGGGCTAAGCCTTTTTGGGAAAGTAGGTAAACGGCTTAAGAAAAGTTGACCGTGAGATGCAGTGGTACGTGCATCTCCGTCCCATGCTCTGGATGTGCCCTTTTTTTAAAAAGGGGAGTTTGTCTCCAACAGCATTTGAAGGGAGTGGAATTCCGAAGGCGCGCCGGAGGCCTTCGCCCGCTAGGAGCTGCCGGGGGCGACTGCGCGCCTCCCCACGTTGCCTCGTTCGCCAGGCGGAGGCATTAGCACTCGGCGCGAGGGCATGACAACCGGTGCTGTCAGCTTAACGTCCTGGAAATTGTCAAACAATGCGGCGCCCCGCGCCCCGCCATACCCCGCCCCGCGACAGACAGGCAAGTAGGCGTGCAAATGGCTGCTGAGGGGCGGCGAACAGAAGTGGCTTTACCTGGGGTCGTCGGACACTGCCTTTGGGTGGCAGCTGTCACAACGGTCGACGCAAAGGCATCCTTTCAGCAGAAAATCTTATTAATTTTTTTTTTTCTGTTAAATGAATTTTAAACATGTGTTTTGTTTCGTGTTGCTACGCACCTCGGCGAAAGTCGACATTATGAGTTTGAAGACATAATATATTCAATTTCAAAACATTCACCATTCAAAAAACAAAACATGTTTCATAAACAAAAGCCGCCCCACTTATTCCGACGGGTACACAAAACGCCTTTGCGCCTCGAAGCCATTGTGCGGAGAGGTGCCTGTTGAAGTGTGAGGCTGACTGGCGCGTCCTCCTCGCTTCGGTCGGAGGACTTCCCAGCGTCCCCTCGTGCGCCGGAAGCCTTCTGCTCGCAGGTCAGCACCGGCCGCTCCCCTGCAATCATCGCTGGCACAAATGCATTTCGTAGTAACAATACAGGTAGCCTGAGACTGTGGCTTCTGCTTCCCTGTGGCGAGCCCCTTTCAATGGCAGGAGGACTAAGCCGGAGGGGGAGAGGGCGTGGCATGGCTGCCCACCCAAGTCTCCCCGCACACTCCTATCCCACAGCTGCACAAAGGATGCAGATAACAATAATTTCCGTTGCACCCTACGCTTTTACTGGCTCGGTTTCCCACTTCATATTCGTGCGTTGATTTCCTACAGTCTCCGCGTCAATCAAAGAATTAGGAACACTATCCTAACACTATCGAACATTTATTATATTATAATCAGATTCTTTTATTTAACTGTTATAAAATGGTCCGATTTGATGTAACTAAATATGATTTTTATATATTTTTCAAAAATTTGAAATGTTAATAAATTTGAAAAATCTTATATCCTTTAGTCTTATATTCACCTGCAAACAAATTTGATACAATCCTCATTGCAATGCACAATTGTTTTCCACTTTTGTTTTTATGCTTTTTTATATTGGCAAATGTAGTATATTCTTTTTTCAGATTATTTGTATTCCATTCATTGCATGAGCCTTTCTATCCAAGATTTCGGTCAAGGTTTAGATGGGGGACATGGAGAGCGGGATTTCATGCAGGACGACGACTTAGGACGATTTGCACTCGATAGCTGAAATATTACAAGGACATAATTTGTTATATCTTCATCATTATTTTACATAACCGTTATAAAGTGTATGAGAAGGTGTGTGCCATGCAAAGTAGGCTGATGACTTCCCGCTTCAGGAACCACAACTTAGACTGTGAAGATGGTTGCAATACGATCGAAAAAAATTCTGCTGTAAATAAATAATATTCATTTGGCAATGTCTGATTAAATAAACGAACATCATAAATACGTAATGCTTCCCAAATCAAAGTGAGTAGCTTGCTTTTCGAGGATTTCTTGAATAATGGCTTGTTTGGGGATTTCACCTGTTAGAAGTTAAACTCATTTGACTGCTTTATTCTGGTGTTCACGTTTCTCTCTTGTTCATTTTTAATGGACTAATAATAATGTATTGAAGTGTTAATGTCTATTAGAAAAACTCGGTTTGATTGATTTGTAAAGGTCGTCGGTAAACATGTCAAATGTCGTGGGAGCTAAAGCACATCCTTGTTCGAGGGCTGTCTTCACGGTGGATTCCAAGCTCGTCACTGGAGTCGCACCTGGCGGGGCCACCGCCGCCGCCGATGCGTGGCGAATCAATCCGTCGTGCGAGGGGGGCGCGCGACGTCTCACTCCCTCCGCCCCCAGGGCCGCTCGTGCTGTTAGGCGCCGAAGATGGCGCTGAGAGAAGGCTGTCAGTAGACATTGTTATATTTTGTGAAGCAACGCTTCTCCCATTACTCCCATATGTAGAATAGAGAAAATTACGTGATGCTGCAAAAGATCTTGATGAGATTTTAATGGAACTACGCGATTTTTGGAGATCATGACTTAGAAAAGAATTTTTTTTTATTTCTGAATCGATTACATAAGCTGACAATGCTATGTAATGGTGCGGGAAAAAAGTGTCCATTTCCAACAGAAAAACCTACTTTGCGAGTTTCTGATTTCTAAAAAGGAGAATTTGCTTGGTCTTTTGCATAAAAAAATATATTCTCATGTATGTAGTGTAGTTAGAACCCATGTAGTGAAGTCGCTTGTGTATTGAACACCCTCGTAGTGTGTCGCTTTATACCGAACACATTTGTCTTCAAAACGTCTGTCTAGTGTCTAAAGTCTAAAATCTAGAGCTTAAACCGTCTTCAGGATTTTTACCCAAGACGATATTTTCTGATCAATGTCATGCCTAGCCCTTTCAAATTTGAAACGGTTATTTTAATTTTGAGGGGTGTTTACATGAAATTATTAGGACAATGTCACAATTTTCTCTTTCAAACTTTCACAACCATATAGCAACTGGTAACGTTTGTGACTCAGAAGGCTATGTTGAGATTCCAAACCTTGTGCAAGCTTATTCTTGTGTTTCTTTAAGCTTTTTGTAAGAATCGAGAGAAATTCTCTTGAATTCAGTGAAAAAGCCATTTCATTTAAACTTAGGAATTAAAAAAAATATAAAGATATACTAGCGTACCCGTGCGAGAACTCTGGCATGTTGTTTTTCTTCCACTTCCCTATCTTTCCTTTTCAATATTAAGAGGGAAAGATGTTAACGAAACGTGTTTATTTGTTTAAAAAGATAAAACGGTAACTTCCAATGTACTTATGGAATTTAAATTAAAAATAAAAAACATTGAAATTGTCGATTAAAACAAATTTCGAATAAAGGTTTATTCAGTAATATAGACATGTTCTTGAAACAATTCCCAACACTTGTTTCAATACAGAATTTGAAGTAATTGTACAATCTTCCTGGTCAGTTACCTTTCGTTTTCCTTCATAGTTACAAAAATATTACAAAAGGTTTTTACTCTCGGGAAAACGAGTTAATGTTTTCAATGCAAAAACACAGGAGCATAACCCTACGCTTCGGAATATTATTTAACTTTACTACCGAATTGAGAGATAAACCGTGCAATTTAATCACCTAGAATTTCAAGTATTTAGTTTCCTTTCACATACAGTTGTAGATTCTGTAGGTTATCTCACGAACTATTCACAGAAAAAAGAATGTCCATATTTACATTTGATAAATGAACGAAAATTTGTAAAAAGCAATCTTCATAGGTATCAAGCTTCTATTCATGCTTGTTTGCTGCGAAAACATTTAGATTTATTTGCATAATCTTGAATTAATGATCATGCAAATAAACCTCATCAGTCGGAGCAAACCACGGTATACACACGAAGCAGTCATATAAGTTGAAGAAATCTAAACCTTCTAAGCGTGACGTCACGAACAAAGATCGCCTCCAGCGCCGAATAATATAGTTGGTATTGGGGTAATGTAGATAAACGCCTGGCCAACAAAAATTTAATAGAATGACCAAAAAGATTGTATCATGTAGACTACTGTGCGAGAAACGTTTCTTCTCAGCCTTCAGCTTTCAAATTTCAAGTTTCAAGGCCCTAAAACGCTTCGTTTAGGAGTTAGTAAACTATATAGATTTTGTCAACGCTGGCGATCATTGCGGGTTGCATTGGAAATGAATGTTTAGATGTGCTTTTTTTTAAACAATTCTTACGCATTTTAAAGTGTAAATGTACTTCGTCAAATCTCTCTCAAATTCTTTTTCTTTAGAAACTTCATTTATAAAGATTGGTTACTTTTGAGAGCCGTAAAAGGTGTGAATACTACTGAAATAATGTAGGAAACGATTCAGTATACGCTTCCATTGTTTAGGAGATTTTCAAATGCTGGTGTACGAGTGTTAGTAGGTGAAAAGTTGCAATATTATATTAACCGTACCAAGAAAAAATATGTGCTGTTGGGGTTCCGCTCTATTGTGTTGTTGAATTTTATATTTTATTGGTATTACATTTTTGAAAGTGTCCAGACGCAAGCGAAGATTCAATGGTTTGAAACGCGTTATAAATGAAGACTGGTTATTACTTTCCCGTATACGTACGTATATAAGGAGTAATATACGTAGTTTAGGGAAAGTTATGTAATGCTGTGGAAAATTGATTTCAAGATTTCAACGGAAATAGGCGTTTTGGGGTTCCCTGATATAGAAAAAAGTGTTGTTTTTTTCTGCAAAATGTCCGTTCGTCTGTCTGGTGTATGTGAACAACACTATGAATAAGAAGCAAACCATGCATAAGATTTTCCTATTCCTATTTGTAGCTCTTGAGAGTAGCTCTTGCAGGACGTCTGAATTACCAGTCAGTGAATTGTGAATTACACGTCTGAACGTATTTCAAGACGAAATTTAAATGTGACCGAACCATTGAGGTAATTAATGGTGGTGTGATGTCTGCAGAGGAGACATTAAAATATATTTGAAAGGTTATGTACTGCTCTGCAAAGTTCACACACATACATCCTAAAGAATTTTTATTTCCCCGAGAGTGTGGCAGCATGGAGCAACGTGGGAAAAGACACATCCACCTCTATTTTTCTACATCAAGTGCCGAAGGAAACGGTCGGACAATTTCATAAAAAAGGAAATTCTTTCTTGCTAAATTTAGCTGATTTATAGATTATCGCTAATTCGTAAAACAAACTCAAAAATGTCTTTATTGCCCATAACATAGAATTTTTATTGAACTCTATGGTAACATTACATTGCGCACGATTGTATCTTGCACACCACAGGTCTTTTTGAAATAATGAAAATAATTACGGATGTGAACATCTGACGTTCAAATTTTGCTACTCCAAAACGATTCAAAGTGTTCGCCATCGAATTTTGTTAACAAATTTCTCATTTTATGTACTTGAACAGTTCAAACTTAAGTAGTGAGCTGTGGTTTCAAGCAATATTTCATTTTCGGAACTTGATCACATCGTTTCCTTTTATTTTATTAATGTTCTTTCCTTGAATAATGTTGTACTAACACTCTTCGTGATGTGGATTGCCTTTGTCATGCCAGGGTAGAGTAGTAATAGATACATCAACTCGAGCAGCGACTGAGAACGTAGTGAAAGCCCTTTCGTGTTAGGAAAAATGACATCCCCCCGCCTCGTCAGAGCCGGACGGTGCTTTTCTGCTTAAGAGAGGGAGATGTTAACTGTTGCGTCGCACGAACGGAGATTGGGTATGACAACCGATCGCACTCAACCTGCAGCCACGTCCCTCTCTTGCGCGTATGGATGGCATCCCATTATTTACTCCGATTATTTACTCCGTGGGTTGGCCGCTTCGTGCCCAGTGCCGACCCTCTCTACACTGGATGTGCGTGATGCATGACTCGGGTACACGCATGGAGCTGCATGAAAAGTGCCGTGAGAACTGAACATAAATATCTCGTATTGTCTTGCGATAAATGTAAAATATAGAAATGCAATTCTGCTGATTACTAGAGAGCATGCTTTCTACGTTCGAAGATCTGTAGGGAGCCATGATGTAACGTCAGCGGTCATGTACTAAATATAACTTTCACAATTGATTTTTTTCTTCCTCTTTTTGTAGTGTATTTCCCCTCCTCCATCTACTGCTCTTCGGCCGTGTCTTCCGTTTCTTGGCATCGTGAACGGAAACTCCGCCATATATCCAGCACATTCATCTCTCAGAGACGTCTGGCCATTTTTTTGCACTGGACTGCCGACAATATCCCGCATGTCCTCTGGTCCAAAAACACTGTGATCAAGAGAAACATGGTGTCCATGTTACTTCACTTCACAAGTTCCAGGTAACTACAAATTAAATATGACTAATGTAAATATTTTATCTTTTATATGTTTTGTGTATAAACTTTAGGAGAACCATGTATTTATTTAAAATGTAAAGTGTTATATACTAAACTGATCGGGCATCAGATTCCTACGGAGTGCATCCACCGTTCCTACGGAGTGCATCTGTAGTGCGTGCAAGGCCGGTTTTTCAAATTTATTGTTATTTATAGAATTCCTCTCCACCTTCGAAAATGATTTAATTTTATACGTTTGCTAATTATCGAGAATCGATGTAATCAGAGCAATCAAATTATGTCAAATAAGCCCAAGTATTTGTAATAGGTATATGCTTGGCAAGGTCTCCCATCCTGTATCCCCATTGCCCTGTTCTGGATGAAAAATATATCAGCCAATGAGTCGGGAATGCCAAGCAGGCTGAATGGGAGCGCATGCCTCGCCTCGTAAAAGAGAGAGTGTGGTTCGATTTATGAAGACCGAAAAACAAGCTGTGAGCCGAACATCTGCTTGACCGTTACGAGAGTGATTTATCACTCGTGAGTAGGAAGCGCGTCGACAATGAGCAGCGCTGAAAGAGACGTTTGCGCAGCGAGCGGATTCCCTGAATGTTTGGGCTGCGCGGCGACGCGGCCCATTGAGCTGAGGGGCTACGCGTTGGTGCCATTGGCGCCTGTGTGAGAGGTTGCAGCTGCAGTGGCGGCGGCGTTGGCGGCGGCGGCGGCGGCGGCGGCGGCTGCGGCGGCCACGGCGGCGGTGACGGCGCGGGGGGCCTCGAGGGGGCAGTGGCCACCCACCCCGCGCCACAGGGTGCTTCCTGACCCCTCTACCACCACGACGCCCCCCTTCTCCAAACAACAACCACCCAGGCATCGCTTATTCGTTTTCCAATGATATTTCCTAAACGCTACTTATTCAGTGTGTGAAATCAGAAGTGCCACTGAACAGGAGCAAGACCAAAACCAATCTGAAATGTCAGCAAGTAACAGTAATTTATTATGATAAATGACAAAGAGATGCGTTATC